ATGAATCCAGGTGGAATATGCTGTTGTGCTATTGACATATTGGCCTAGTTTTCATATGTGCCATAGTGGTTTTTGTGGGCACTCCTTCCAGCAGCACAGCTCAAATTTTTCAGAGGGACTGATTTTTCTACAAGTGCTAATAATTACATTGTAAAAAAAAAAAAAATTAAAAATTGAGTTGTACTTCTGCAGATACCATGAGGCACTTCATGAAGAATTTAAAATTTCCATAGAGAGTAAAAAGAGAAATGTTTCTGACTAAATTTTCTGCTTTCTCTAGCTGCCTGGTCGTAATTTTAGGCAAGGCTACAATGCTGATGTTGGTGACAAGTGGATCTGGCTGAAATGAAATCTGCCTCCCCTTGGAGCCCTAACTGCGATGGACCACAGAACTTGAGTGAAGAAGCTGAGTTCAGTGTGCCTGCTCTGCATCAATTGTGTAGCACAAAGAAAATGCTGGTTAAATCATCTTCCAGCTACAGCATGAGAGAACAGACTTCTAAAAAGGAAATCACTTTATTCTGGTTTGTTCTTCCCTGGAGAGTTCAGGGTGCTTTGTCTTTGGATGTTGGATGGTCAGTGTGTGATAGCAGAGTGATCTGATATTACAGGGGCAGACTTAAGATCAATGCTGAACTTTCTCTTCATCAAGACTGTGGCATGTTATTATACAGGACTATTGTTGTTTTGCTGAATCAAGAGAAATTAAACCTGTATCCTCCTGCTCTCACAAAGTTCATTTCTTGCTCTGTCATGCATTGGGTTTTATTTGTTTCATTAGAAGAGTGCACATGCTAAAAAAACTCACACTTGCCTCATGTTCTGAAAGCCTATTACTGGACATCAGCATCAAAGCGGGCAAGCATAAAAAAGTTCATTGAGAGAAGGAAATAAGTGTTAATCTAAATTTAAACAGCAAAATGTCTGTGCTTAAAAGTATATAAAAAAAAAACCCTAATTGCCAGCAGTTGTACTCATAGCTTCTTCCTTTGAATGGGTGCTATAGATCACAATGTTTGGGTATAAAAGACAAACGTAATTATTATTTTTGCAAGTCCCTGAAAGTCCAAGTTGGAGTTCTTTTTAAAGAAATGATTCATTTGGTATTAGTTAGTCACACAAATGAGGCACTTTGGCATTGGTTCAAGCCATGCTGCCTAGACTTAGTCTGCAGTAATTCTGCATTTCCAGCAAGGGGCTAACTACTTCAGTCGCTGAGCAAAAAGCTGCCAGGCATCCCAGTATTCAGGGCAGTGCCTTTGAATTCAGCAACCAAGTCTTGCCTGTGCCCCTTCCCATATCAAAACTAGTATGAAAAGACTCTTTTAAGAGCTGTGGGGGCCTGCTTAGATACTGAAATAAATGAGCAGTGGGATAGAAATGTGGCTCTTCTCTCTGATCTCTTAGCTCTTTGTTTCCATGTTTTATGGCTTTATAGGTTTTTTTTCACCTGTGGTTCCAAAAGAACTGTCTCTGTGTCGATGCCACTGTGCCTCCTTGCGCTAATGCAGCTGGTGGCTTCATGGTGACGAGCAAGTGCAGGATGCGGGGCTGGCACTGTGCCTTGGGCTTGTGTGAAAATGCAGCAGAACTGGCGTAGTCAGTCCTGCGAGGCTGTGCACTTTTTGAACTGTTGTAAGACCTTTGGGTGTTTTCACCTTCCAGAGGCTGGTGGTGAGATGCTGGAGCTATATGTGTTGCAGCTCAGCTGTGTGCTTCCTTACCTCATGACTCCCCCAGGGAGGTGTATCTTAGTGCTCTGATGCCTGAGGACCTGCCAGCCCCAGCCGCTGTTGCCTTCTCATGTGCAATGAGATCCTGACCAATTCATGTTAGCTTTTCTTTACCTGTCCAAAGTACCATCTTGCAACAGTGAGTAATGAGTGCAGAGATGAAAAGAACATCTGCTGTGGCTTTAGGTTCCCTTTGGAGTAGTCCAGATCTGTTTTTACAGGTGTCCCATCTCCCAGTGTTGCTGTGTTCTCCAGGTGTTGTAATTCACTTGGCAATGTGCAATGCAACCTGATGTCGGATCTCCTAGGAAGGCATTTTGTGCTGTGTGTAGTGCTGGTGAAGCTGCTGTGTGTAACTTTGCCATAGTGGGGCACAGTGGGGTGCAGAGCATTTCTCAGAGCCTTCCCTGCCTGCTCCAGCAGCGCACTGAGAGCTGAGCTCTGGATGTCAAGGAGTTTAACTCCTGTCAGGAAAAGCAGTGTTGGCTTGTACAGTGAGCAGTGTGGTATGACAAAATGTCTTTTTTTTTTTTATGCTAGTTTTATCTCTGCTTTAAAAGTGAAGCTGTTTATAAACTAAACCTGTGAAGGAAATAACTTTCTTTCCCCTTGCTGTAGGAAAGAGAGTTAGATGTGTTTTTCTCTTCCCTCCTTCCCACTCCAACACCTCAAAAAAAAAATCTCTTGGCAAACCAGCTGTAAAGATTTTGGCTTTTGAAGACTGGGCTGTGCCAGTTGGATAAATCTATCTCCAGTTCTTTATGAGATTGGAAAAGATAAAATGGCTCAAGTCCTCTCTGCATTTCTGCGTAGATGCACGTGTGATATCTGCAGTCTGTCCCCTTATCCTGAGTTCCCATTGTCTATGTTAATGCACGGGGAAGTTTGCCTCCTGCCTGTCACATCCCATGCTTGATTCTGCCTGCCTTTGTAAAGGCAGGCTCACTGGGAATGGCAGCGTTTCACTTACGGCCAGCAGTCGCATTTATGGGCAGAACCACCAGCTTTCTTGATGTCTGCATTTGTGTCTGCAGTTGGTTGGTCCAGTAGTCCAGCAACTAACTCCTCCTTGGGTTCACTTCACTTCACAGTTGCACAAGAGGGGTGAAAAGAAAGAGGAGGTGGGAATGGGTCTTGCCACCAGAACGAATGCTGGACACGCTGCAGCCTCAGAGGAGGTTGTGAAGTTTGCGCCTCAGCCTCGGAGCCTGTGATTTCATGCCAACGCCTGTCCCATTCTGAAAACTCGGCTTACCGCATTTCAGATTTGGTCTTGTAACCATCCCCCTCTGGCCTTTGCTGTGGTTGACTGGTGAATGTGTGTGTGCTTTCCCGATGTGTCCATTAATAGCTTCGTTGTCAGCTGGGGGACAGCTGAAACCGTCTGGGCTGTGACAAGGTCAGTCTCTCTGCTGAAGATACCTGCATGTGTCTGATCCTCCTCGTGCTTTGTGCTTCAGCTTCAGGTATTGACTCTAACTGCACCTACCCACCTTGTGCTCTTCAGCAGTGACATTTGGCCCAGGGCTACAATTAAGAGATCCAGTGAGTTTCTTCTTCCCCTTCCTCCTTCAAGGTGTAACTTCCATGTTTTAATAGCGGTGAGGTTTGGATGTTAACTGTGCTGCTTCACTTCTGTGAAAGGGAAGAGCTGCTGCAGTGAGAGAAGGATGTGCATTGCTGTGCCGCCACCACAGGCAAAGATTAAAATGAAGCCCTTCTGTGGAAGAGCTTGCTGAGCAAGTGTAATTTAGGTTCACAACAGATTCCAGCTGGCTTCGAATGCTGTTTACAAAAGATGGCAAAATGAATCATTTGTGCAAAAGTTAATGGAAGCAACCAGAGCAGAGGGGAGGTGGGATGGCACACCGTAACCTCACAGGCTGCTCTCCAGAAATGTACCTGCTCAGGTGTAGTGTAAGCTGAGCATTTATGGAGAACCTCAAAAGCCATGTGCCTTCAAGGAGATCTTGATGGAAAAGGAGGTCCAAAGATGAATGAAGGGGATTGACTGTCCTCCGTACGTTCATGGCCTTCTGTTGACTTGTGTGTGATATTGGGCAAGCTTCTTGGAGCTGCGTGGCCCTGGGACCTCCCATTCGTGTTGGTCAAAACTGAGCCCATCTGACACTGTTGCTTCCCATGACCCTGCTTAGCTCATATGTGGAATGAGTGTTTTATAAAACACTGGTTGAAAGATGGGGTAAGCATTCAAAATTGTGTTCCCTGATGCTTTCCTGGGGGCTGAAGGGAGGTAAGGTCTAGGTTTCCCTGGCAGAAAGGCACAGCTCTGCGATCCCAGCTTGTCTTTCTGCTGCAGTGGTGAGAAGGTGCCATGTCTCAGTCTTGCTGCCGTGATGAGCAAAGCCTTGGCCACCCAGGAGACTGCTTTGCTTCAGTTTTGGTGTCGTGGGTTGGAGATAATCTATCATGCTAGAGAAAGGAGCTCATGCTGGAGAGCTTTCCTGAGAAAGGGAAATTATTTCCCCTTGCAGTCATTCAGTAAGAAGCAGTTAATTCACTCTGACCCTTTTAACCCTGATAAGAGGGCAGCATTCTTTACATAGCTGCCTCTCAAACAGCGTCATCGCGTGAGCATCGCGGGTGGCAGGATGGCATGAAATCTGCAGGTTCTGCTCTGGTTCCCAGCTTTAAGTCTTTATTTGCCAAATACATATTCACAGCGAGATCAAAACAAGCGCATTGCCTGCCGGTGCTGTGTGGTTCCTCTGCAGGTGCTGGAGCCCAGCCTAGCTGCTTCTATCTGATGGGACCACTCCTGATTATTTGATTCCTGCCGGTGTTCTCCACCCTCCTGAACAAAAACTACAGGTACAAATGATACCTAAATTTTACGTGCCTGAGAACTTAGTCTCAATTAGCTTAATGGGTACTGAGCGTCTTCAAAGATAACCGGGCATTGAAGTCCGTGGCAGCCGCTGCAGTTCCCTCGGGGAGAGGCAGACACCACACCTCATTCCTCCACCTGCTCGTGGATGAGCAGTTCATGGAGCATGGCCTGGAGACACAATCCCAGACAGTGGTGCCGCATGGGGGATAAATGCCGCATCCGCCGGTTGGCGTGCGGGCTGCCGCACCTACAGGAGAGCGTTCCCAGCCCTCAACTGCATCTCTGCGCATGGGCGTGAGGTGGAGGAACGTGAGTGTGCGGCTAGGGAAGGTGGATCTTGGCTGGCTGTGGGGTCGCAGGCATGCCAAATGGGACCATGCTTCCCCCCAGCTGTGGGCTGAAAGTTGTGGCAGAGCAAGGGTTTTGGTTTCTCTGGGTTCCCTATCGTGCTGCTGCAGACAGCTCCTTTCAGCGCGCTCAGGGCTCTGGCAGAAAGCGGGGAGCCAGCTCTTTGGGTTGTGCTGCGTTATGGTGCCAGCACAGCAGTGCCACTCTGCATTTCAAGAAACGGGATGTAAGCGTGATTTACTGAGCCCTTTGGTACATTTGCTCTTTTCTGGTTCTTGCGTACAAGAAGGCTGGTCCAAACAGGTTACTACTTTGTGTGGAAGCTTATTTCCTTTTTGGGAATCAAATTCTTTATATATAAAGTTCACAGCAGAGTTTCTGTTGTGTAAAGGGAGTTGATGCATGCGAAAAATGAACAAGAGAGTGCTAAGGTAAAATGGGCATGACCTCTGCAGCCCTGGCATGGCCCGTGTCAGCCCCCACGTTGTGCCCACTTGCCGGTGCCTGCCATCGTCTCTGGGTGTTTTGGGAGACAAGGGTGACTGTTCTCATCCCCTAAGAGGTGAGGGTATTCAGAAACTGGTGGGAGCTGCTGCTGAGCGGGGTGGGCTTTGTCATTACGACAGGGACTCCATTTGCTGCGCTCGGTTCTGGTTTGTGCCTGCTTACAAGAGAGACCCAAGACTGAAGGAGGAAGAAAGAAGGGACTCGACAAACTCCTTTGCTGCTTTTATCTGTGGATGCAGGTAAAATTCAGGCTGCTGTGGTCTCAGCTGAGTGGCCAGCTGAGAC